ATACATTTTCAAATAATTAATAGGAAAATACCATTTATCTAATTATTTATCTATTTAAAGGGTTGATTTTTTGACAAAGATATTTTAAGCTGGAAAATCATAATGAAAAATATAATGATCACTTAGATGGGAGAAGAATGGACTATTTTATTTGTAATAAAACTGATAGAAACTTTGATTGTTGTCTTTAATAAACTATTTCTGATTTTACATGATTAATTATTTTTCATTCTCATCATTATATCCTATTTAAAATTTAATTGTACTATCTAAATTGACACTTTCTAGACTTGTATCATCAAATTTAAATAAATACATAAAATAATCTCCATAACATATCATAATACTGAATTCATCTATGATATTTACGTTAATGAAAGACTCCATTATTTAGAATTTAAATTCAATCAAAAGCTTATCTTTGTTTTACTCAATAAAATCATCAAATTTCACTAAATGTATAAAAAAAGACTGGCTATGATAAAAGATATAATCAACGCCATTGAAAAGCCTGTAGAAAATTTTACTATATCGATGAGAATTTTGTATAATAACAGTTTTTATGATCTCTGAGGTACTAAATTTAATGCAATCAATAAATCTGGTTTATCTATCTCTAGAACGAAAATACTCTACCAAGAGCATGTCTCTATGAGGTAGCATGATGATACACTAAACTTCTATTCACTCCCCATCTTAGACAAATCTAAGAGGGAAATTTTAACTTTTAATCCTAGAATTCAGAGAGTAATCCGTCTCTTTGTGATCCTACAATATCCATTGATATTCTAGAGGAAGGGGATTCTTGAGAGATATTTCTTCATTTAGCCCTGCATTTTGTAATTCTTCAGAAGGATTTTCTTTCTTTATTTCCTCATATCGGATTTCCTCCCATTTCTATTGCCCCTCTGGCAATGTTTGTTGGGTTTGAGATGCCATAGGTTATGCCATGTCTTTTTCCTTTTAATTTTTATATTAATTATAATTTTAAATAGAATTTCAAACTTATGCCTTTAATTTAAATTTAAAGTAATTATCAGAATTCTGATCAGAAAATAGTTATAAATTGATGAAATTTGATTTCCAAGTCTATTTAATGTCTAACTTCGCTTTACAAGTACTCATTATTTGCTTATGGGGTTTTGGGGTTTTGGGG